CAGTGTGTCCGATTAGTATGTATCAATCTTTTAAAAATTTCAGATCCCTTTAATAAAGCAAGTCTCCAGACAGTTACCTGACAGTGGAGCTCCCACTCAATCAGACCCACATAGCAGAGTTGCTAACTGGCTTTAAAGAGTGACTACTGGGGCCGGCGCTGTGGCGCAGTAGGTTAATCCTCTGCCTGCGGCACTGGCATCCCACTGCTCCACTTCTGATCCAGCTCTCTGCTAAGGTCTGGGAAAGCAGTAGAAGATGGCGAAAGTCCTTGGGCCCCTGCAACCACGTGGGAGACACGGAAAGAAGCTCCTGGCTCTGGCTCTTGCGGCCAGCTGGGGAGTGAACCAGCGAATGGAAGACTCTCTCTCTCTCTCTCTCTCTCTCTCTGCCTCTTCTCTTTCTGTGTAACTCTGACTTTCAAATAACGAAATAAATAAAATTTTTAAAAAAGAAAATTAAAAAAAAAACACACACACAAAAAAAGAGTGACTACTCTTGCTCTGACATATGAATAGCCATCCAAGGATTAGGAGATATTTAAGGAAAATCTGGGTTGTCAAAGAAAGATTAAAACAGAAAGAAAGAAGGAGGTGAAGAATGGATTCAGGAACCAGAGATAATGCATTACATAGAAGAATATTATAAGATTTTCTAAGAGATGAGAGTTTGCATTCATGAAATAAGAACAGGAAACTATATAAAATAAATAATCAAATGAGAACCAAAACACAAAGTTGAAGCTCTTGGAAATTAAAATAGGAGAGTACAAATGAAATATTCCATTCCGGAAATATCTCAGAATATTAAAGACAGAGAAAAAATTAAAAAGGTAAGAAAATCAATCCAACATTAAATAATAATCTTTCAAGACAGTGAACAAGAAAACCAAACGAAGGAAGGAAATTTTTTTATTTTTTTAGAAAATTTTATTTAATATAAATTTTGAAAGTACAACTTTTGGATTATAGCGGTTTTCCCCCCATAACCACCCTCCCACCCACAAACCATCCCATCTCCCACTCCCTCTCCCATCCCATTCTTCATCAAGATTCATTTTTAATTATCTTTATATATGGAAGATCAACTTAGTATATACTAAGAAAAGATTTCAACAGTTTGCACCCACACAGACACACAAAGTATAAAGTACTGTTTGAAGACTAGTATTACCGTTAATTCACATAGTACAAGACATTAATGACAGAGATCATTTTAGTTACCAGGGGAAAAAAAACTCTAAAAGCCTCCAATAAGGAAAAAATATTTTTTCTATACAAAAAAGGAACATAAGACTTCTGGAATACAAAAGACAGTGGACCAATGCATGAAGAAAAATGATTTCCAACCTAACCTATCAAACTGTTCAAAGTATAAAGGTGAAGAAAATTTTGGATTATCAAAGCTCAAAGAGTTTTCTTATACATTATTCCTCAGGAAGCTCCTACAGGATACGCCTTCCCCCAGGAGGAAGAATACACAATAAACTGGAAGGCACAGCATCCACCAAACAGGAGATACAAATAGGAGAGAGGCAGAGGGATTTCCTCCCCGGAGAATGGTGAAGAAAACGTCTGGGTCAAGAGCCAAAAGATCTCTTCAATACAACAGTGGAACATACAGAAATCCTGGTGTGTTTGAATACAGATCTTACCAAGAACCAGAGTACCAACACACCTTCCATGTGTTGAGTTTTTACTTTGCTTCACATTCTGTCCTAAGGTCTTTGCATGTGTGACTTCATTTACTCCTCATACTGATACTGTGAAGTAGAGAGCTACTCAGACACCCGGATAATGGAACTGAATGATGTGCCTAAAGTACACGGCTAGAATTGTTCAGTGAATTCACTGAAATCTCGGGAAAGCTGTGAAACCTGAGACAGCACCACTGTTGGTAGGTGAAGGAAATGTGTGAAGAGTGGGCTCACCCAGGATATCTCAGGGCCTCCATGCAGGCTTGATTTTTTATTTTGGATATATATAATATTTCCATTTATTAAACTTCTTAATATCATGTTGCTAAAAATATCTCTCCTATATTTTTAGATATACCCCGAAATTGTGCATAACTGGACTATGCAAATATAGTAGGATTATATAACTTGTAGGAACAAAAGCACAGATAAGACAATGGCTTGATTATGAAATATACATGAGGGGCCAGCGCCATGGCACAGTAGGTTAATCCTCTGCCTGGGGCGACGGCATCCCATATGGGCACCAGTTCTAGTCCTAGCAGCTCCACTTCCGATCCAGCTCTCTACTGTGGTCTGGGAAAGCAGTAGAAGGTGGCCCAAGTCCTTGGGCCCCTGCACCCACATGGGAGACCCTGAAGAAACTCCTGGCTCCTGGCTTCAGATCGGCGCAGCTCCAGCCATTGCGGCCATCTGGGGAGTGAACCAGTGGATGGAAGACCTCTCTCTCTGTCTCTCCCTCTCACTGTCTGTAACTCTACCCCTCAAATAAATAAATAAATAAATCTTTTGAAAAAAAGAAACATACATGAAACAATTAGTGTAAATACGGTATACAACTGTCAAACAAAGATCAGAATTTCAGGAAAAAAGGAAGGCTATAGGCTAGAGAAGAAGTCTTCTAGCATAAGTATGTGTCATAGTCACCTGGGGTGATTTCTAAGACATTAAACTCAGCACTGATGATTTAGTAGACTTACAAGTATGGCCTAAGATTTGTATTTTTTTTTATTTTTTTATTTTTTGACAGGCAGAGTTAGACAGTGAGAGAGAGAGACAGAGAGAAAGGTCTTCCTTCCGTTGGGTCACCCCCTAAATGGCTGCTACGGCCGGCGTGCAGCGCCGATCTGAAGCCAGGAGCCAAGTGCTTCTCCTGGTCTCCCATGGGGTGCAGGGCCCAAGCACTTGGGCCATCCTCCACTGCCTTCCCGGGCCACAACAGAAAGCTTGACAGGAAGAGGAGCAACTGGGACAGAATCCGGTGCCCCGACCGGGACTAGAACCCAGAGCGCCGGCACTGCAGGCAGAGGATTAACTAAGTAAGCCGCGGCACTGGCTGTAGAATTTGTATTTCTAACAAGTTCCCAGTGGTGCCAAGAACTATATACAGAGGATATAGACCATAATTTGAGGGGAAGAAAAGCTGAACCTCAAAGGAGCTGGTGTGAGTTAAATGACATTAAGAGAACTAAAATTATTTTCAAGGTGAGGACATTGTGGATAGTTGGGCTCAGGTAGGCAAAGACGTATCTGATTATAAATGAGTCTAGAGTCAGAATGCTGCAGTCACATCTGTGCAACCGTGGCTGCAGTACACACAGTAGAATGAGCTCTTTCCTGCTAGGCTGAAGGGGAAAAAAGGTTGCCTGGCATCATCCAGAGAGAAGTGAAGCCTCCTGATGCTGTTCTAGAGTGAACTCCAGGCTGGCACTGTGGCGTAGCAGGTCAAGCTGGCGCCTGCAGTACTCGCATCCAATATGAGTGCTGGTTCGAGTCCCTGGCTGCACCACTTCCAGTCCAGCTTCCTGCTAATGTGGCTAGGAAAAGCAGTTGAAAATGGCCCACATGCTTGCGCCCCTACACCCACATGGGACCTGGATGAAGCTCCTGTTTCCAGGCTCCTGGCTTCTGGCTTCAGCCTGACCCAGCCCCAGCTACTGCAGCCATTTAGGGAGTGAACCAGTAGATGGAAGATCTCTCCTCTCAACTCTCTGGAACTCCGCCTTTCAAATAAATAAAAAAATCTTTACAAAACAGAAAGAAAGAAAAATCTGACCATAGAATAGTAAGAAGCAATGTCCTGGACCTTTGTCCTCTGAGACAGCAAGAAGAATGGCTGTCTGATCAGCACAGCTAACAGGCAGGTCTGCCACACTTGTGCTGAAGCCTCCTCCACCAAAGCAGTGAGAAACAAATCCTTCCACCTCAGAAGCAGTGCACGGCCAGGCCCTTGCCCCAGCACGGTGAAGTGCACCCTTCTCGCAGCAAGGCATCTCATCTCTGAGTCACTGATGTCTGAAGCATTTGTTTTTTGGTATCTGTGTACTGTGAATTAGAATACCTTATCATACATAGTCTGCTGAATTTATGCTTAAAGATTAACAAAGTACCCTGTCACCTATCTCCTAAACCTGTTCATATACACATACAGCATCCACCCCCCCTCCCCAAAAAAAAGGACTGGAAAGAAATGCCATCCGTAGTGATTTATGCTGAATAGTAACATTACTGATAGTATTTTCTTCTTTATACTTTCCTATTTTTCTAATTTCTCTATAAGAATTTCTTTCAATTAAAAAAGTTGGGGGCCGGCGCTGTGGCTCACTTGGCTAATCCTCTGCCTGTGGCGCCAGCATCCCATATCGGTGCTGGGTTCTAGTCCTGTTGCTCCTCTTCCAGTCCAGCTCTCTGCTGTGGCCCAGGAAGGCAGTGGAGGATGGCCCAAGTGCTTGGGCCCTGCACCTGCATGGGAGACCAGGAGAAGCACCTGGCTCCTGGCTTCGGATTGGTGTAGCTCTGGCTGTGGCGGCCATTTCGGGGTGAACCAATGGAAGGAAGACCTTTCTCTCTGTCTCTTTCTCACTGTCTGTAACTCTACCTGTCAAATAAACAAATAAAAAGCTTTAAAAAAAAAGTTTTTAAGCCAACACAGACTGATACAGTATAAGCGGCATTATGAACATATGTATTCAAGCTGGTGCCATTTACAGATTTGTCAAGAATCATAGGCTTTCTACATACAACTGAGAGTCTTTGGGAAGAAGGAAACCAAAGACTAAGGGCTGTAAATATGAAATAGTCAAATGGCCTGTGAAAAGTAGATATTCTACAAATAGATATTATATTATTAGTATGTATGTATACTTATATATGCATATATATGTGTACTCTACAAATGTCATAGAAATAGGCACTCAAGTATTATTGAATGAGTATGCAAATTAAATTTAAGATACATTTATCCCATATGTAAATCTTACTTGTTTACTTCTTGTATCCACTTCTGAATTACTTTTTCTTTTTAAGCTATTTTCGAAGAAAATTCCAGGACACTGGCACAGGAATATATTGGAATCCCTATACTATGGGTTATGGAAAAAGGAGACTCAGGCCAGATATATGCACACCTCCAAGCTCAAGCACAGCTGCCTTTGCTAATGCTGCCCGGATGACAATAATGAAAGAGAAGGATTTGTTTAAATTTCTTGAAGAGCTCAAGAGTAAGAACCATTTGCTGTCTCCCCACTGTTCTAAAGGATTTATTCACATATAACCAGTCAGAAGCAAATAGGCCAAGAGCAGGAGCGCAGCCTATGAAGAGTGGCCAGTCCCAGTCACAGATATCATCTGAAAGCAAATGTGCATTGTCGCTCCCTTGCCCGCAAAGGAACGACACTGCTCCCAGCTGATCGGTCTTCAGTAGACTTTTATTTAAACAGGATAGAAAGAAACCCTTGAGCAAGGGGAGCTCCGAAAGAAAGGGGAAGCTCCCGTACCATATCACAAACAGCTTATATAGTACATCATTGTTGAAGCGTGTAATGCAAGCTTAGTCCATGCTACAGTCCATGCGGCGGTGCTCCAATTGGGTGCCTGATCACGCACAGTCCATGCGCTCCTTGTCCAACCATAAAGGTGATCACGCGCCTTCATCCAATCAAGCTCCTGGTCACGTAGCAGGTGACTCAGGTGCTAACAACAAGCTTCCACCTGGTGTTTGCTCAGCCTTGGTCAGTGGGAAAAGAAGTACGGGAAGCCCCAAGGCCATAGTTGTTTTGACTCTAGCCTGGGGTTATGAAACGGTCCCGATATCACAGCTCAACAGAAACCATAAACATCCACACAGCAGTAACTAATGCCAATGGTCAGCAAGCCAAGCCTTAGCATGTGGGCCCATGGCTGGCTCATGGGTCCCCACAGTGCATCTTCTCTGAACCCTCCGACACCTGGAGGAAGCCTAAAGCCTGTGGCTGGGTGGGGAGGGGCAAGAGCGCGGAGAAGAGGGGCTGTGGGCCCTGAGGAAAGGAACAGAGAGCAGAGCAGGCTCCATGTTTGTCTTTTAAGTTAGTTTCTTCCAACATTGTTTGTGATACTGTTTTTGTTTTGATCTTTCTAGGATGCAACTCCCCTTCAGATAGCCCATATTCAAAAATACCCATCTTTCCCTTGTTTCCTAACGTGGACGGGGTGGTGATGGGAAAGCCATTCAAAGACATGCAGAAATTAGAAATGCTAAGGAGAAAGGAGCCTCTGAATTTCTTTGAGGACTATTTTTTTCATAAAAGAGACTGGAAAGCACAGGTGAGATTTAGATGACATAACATTAGTTAACTGAAGTACTTAGCAGAACTAATACTATGCTTTTTATGATAAGTATTTTTAGTCATATTTCTAACCAGATTCTATAACCATGACCCTGAATTTAAATCCAGGTGTAACTCTTTCATTTAACTGCAATAGATAGTTAAGTTTACTGAAAAATGCAACAGTAGGTTTGGACTTGGAGATGGAAAACCTAAGGAGAATAACCAGAAAATGTCCTCAGGTCCTCCCTCCCATGTGGACGAGGGTTGGGAGATTCTCAGAATGAAAGACTCCTGAATCCCTTTCGTTTGGACAGAGCGCTATATGGTATTTGTTAGACCTATCATTGGTTTCATTAATTGGAGGGTGAACCAACGGCAAAAGGAAGACCTTTCTCTCTGTCTCTCTCTCTCACTGTCCACTCTGCCTGTCCAAAAAAAAAAAAAGTGAGAGTTAAAAATGTAAGAAGGCCGGCGCCACGGCTCACTAGGCTAATCCTCAGCCTTGCGGCGCCGGCACGCTGGGTTCTAGTCCCGGTCAGGGCACTGGATTCTGTCCCGGTTGCCCCTCTTCCAGGCCACCTCTCTGCTGTGGCCAGGGAGTGCAGTGGAGGATGGCCCAAGCTGCACCCCATGGAAGACCAGGATAAGTACCTGGCTCCTGCCATCAGATCAGCGTGGTGCGCTGGCCGCAGCACACCGGCCGCAGCGGCCCTTGGAGGGTGAACCAACGGCAAAGGAAGACCTTTCTCTCTGTCTCTCTCTCTCACTGTCCACTCTGCCTGTCAAAAAAAAAAAAAAAAAAAGTAAGAAAATTGGGGCAGGCGTTGTGGTACAGCAGGGTAAGTTTCTGTTTGGGACAATTCGAGTCCCAGCTGCTCCACTTCAGCACCAGCTCCCTGTTAATGCGGCTGAGAAAGCAGCCAAAGATAGCCCTGGTGCTTGGGCACCTGCCACCCACATGGGAAACCTGGATGGCGTTCCAGTCTCCAGGCTTTGGCCTGGCCCAGCCCCAGTTGTAGCCATTTGGGGAGTGAACTAGCAGATGATAGTCTCTCTCTCTCTCTAATTTTGCCTGTCAAATAAATAAAACAAATCTTAAAAAAAAAAAGAAGATATAATATTCTGAGCCCTCTATGCACCTGGAAAATTGACAGATAAGGCTATAATTATAATTGCAAGGATTAACTTTAGACTTTTTAAAATCATTATGTATATATTATATTACAAAATATAAGGGACACTGCTAAATGAATAGGCAAATTCACAATCACAATGGAAGAGTTTTATCACGTATCATCAGAAACTGATAAAGCAGACAAAATTAAATAAATGAACATGTAAATCAACTCATCCTATAAAAAACTTAACTGCTAAGGAAAAAGGAACTGGACATACAGCTTGATACAGAATCAGAGTTTGAAAAAGTGGTTTCAGGACTTGAGATACTTGAGCCCATCTGTAGCCACCACAGCTCTTTCTTTTTTTTCTTTTTTTGACAGGCAGAGTGGACAGTGAGAGAGAGAGACAGAGAGAAAGGTCTTCCTTTACCTTTACCCCCCAATGGCTGCTGCAGCCGGCGTACCACACTGATCCCAAGCCAGGAGCCAGGTGCTTCTCCTGGTCTCCCATGCGGGTGCAGGGACCCAAGCACTTGGGCCATCCTCCACTGTACTCCCGGGCCACAGCAGAGAGCTGGACAGGAAGAAGAGCAACCGGGACAGAATCCGGCACCCCAGCCGGGACTAGAACCCAGGGTGCCAGCGCCGCAGGCAGAGGATTAGCCTTTGAGCCGCGGCACTGGCCCACAGCCCTTTTTAACTGAATCAGATCTCTGGGCATGTGACTCAGGCCTCAATATTTTTAAAGTTCTAACATGCAGTCAAGTCTGCAAATCACTGCTCAGGGGAAAGAAAAATTGAATGTAGAAGGCACATTCAGGACTGACTGTAGGTTCATTCTTTGAAAATAACCAAGAATTTCAAGACAACAGCAGATCTTCAAACCAAATACAGGGCACTCCTAAGTGCAAGGTGTAATTTTACAGTTCGTGCACTCATGAAGCTGGCCCTATAGAGAGAAAATATCTAGTAATGAGTAAAGAAAGAATAAGGAGGAGACCTTGGCCTTGTAAATCAGGAAAAACTCTCCTATATAAGAACAAAGCAGGAAAAATTAATTAAAGAATGGAGAAAGGAAAGGTGGAAAGAAGGGTTGAGAAAATTCATGTTATCCTAAGTTCCTAGTGTTACACAGCATAGTGGGGAGACTATGGTTCACACTAACCTAGTAGCTGCAAGCCTTCAATCATAAAGTAATGTTAATAGCAGAGAAATGTTGATTACCCTGTTTGAACAGTACACATTACATACATCTATTGAAAGGTCACACTGCAGCTCATAAATATGCATAATTATTGCTAATAAAAAGTCTTAAAAGAAAATTTATATTAGATAGCTTTAAAGGTATAAGGCAGTTTAAGGTCTGGTTTTCCAGCAGCAACTAGGAGCACTGTAATATAATCAACAGCTAATGAAGAAGAGAACTATCAAGCAATACTGAGGGCCTAAGACTAGGTGATACACATTTTCAAAGAAAGCAGTCAGTGTAGTTATGTGATTTCCTTGTGCCTTGTTCAGTAGCCCCAAAACAGGGAAAACACGTGGCTGGTCCCCATGAGAAGACTGACAGTACCAGAGGTTGAGCAGTGTCTGGTGGAAGGCACATTCATCTTCTTTTTGTTTTAATATTTATTTATTTATTTGAAAGAGTTACACAGAAAAAGGAGACACGGGGCAGGGGAGGGGGTCTTCCATCTGCTGGTTCATTCCCCAGTTGGCTGCAACAGCCAGAGCTGTGCCGATCCTAAGCCAGGAGCCAGGAGCTTTTTCTGGGTCTCCCACGTGGGTACAGGGGCCCAAGGACTTGAGCCATCTTCCACTGCTCTCCCAGGCCATGGCAGAGAGCTAATTGGAAGTGGGGCAGCGGGACTGGAACCGGCGCCCATATGGGATGCCAGCACTGCAGGTGGCAGCTTTACCCACTGCGCCACAGTGCCGGCCCCTGCACATTCATTCCCAGTGCTTTGTGATGCCTTGGGAAATTGGGGTCAGGATGGAACTGGCCTCTCTCTGCCCTCCCTGTCCATTCTATACATAAACTATGTGGTGGACACTGCTCCTGTGCAGGCTTCATCATTACTAAAAAGAATTGACTCAAGGCCCATGTACACATGGAACCACACTAGGGGCTCTCAAACAGCCAACAAATAGTTTGGCTTTTTTTTTTTTTTTTTTTTTTTTTTTTTTGCAAGGCAGAGTTAGTGAGAGAGAGAGAGACAGAGAGAAAGGTCTTCCTTCCGTTGGTTCACTCCCCAAATGGCTGCTATGGCCAACGCTGCACCTCTCCGAAGCCAGGAGCCGGGTACTTCCCCCCAGTCTCCCATGCGGGTACAGGGACCCAGGCACTTGGGCCATCCTCCACTGCCTTCCCGGGCCACAGCAGAGAGCTGGACTGGAAGAGGAGCAACCGGGACAGAATCTGGTGCCCCAACTGGGACTAGAACCCGGGGTGCTGGCGCCGCAGGTGGAGGATTAGCCAAGTGAGCCACAGAGCCTGCCAGCAATTATCTTATAAATCCTATACAAATCATTTTAGAATAAAATATTCTTCTGTTTATTATGTCTGTGTTATATAATCCAAACTAAAATTATCACTAACCTTTTCAAAATGTGCACAAAGGCAGCAAACATAAAGCCCATCGACCCTGCCTCCGGCTATACGAGTGACATACTCGCCATTGATCAGACGTTCAAGAGGAAGCAGACGTGGACGGTGGCTGATGCAGCTGCCATTAAGCAGCACGTGAGTATCTGTTGTTGAACGCCTCCCCAGAAAGCACTGACAGAAGTATTTTTCGCTTCAACACCACACCATAAAACTAAGAGAATTTTTACCTGTTCTGTGTCTTTAAAAGGAGGTAAGGTAGCTTCTCATTTTAATCCATTGTAATGACATTTTTTGCTCTTTAATCTGATGGATTCAAATGTGAAGTATGACGATTCATTCCGCTAATCACCTATGCGGCTATACTCAGCATCGTTTCTGGGACATTTGTTCCTCTGGAAAAGCAAACTGATTAAGGCAGTAAACGTACTGTTGCGGTGAGTGGTGTACTCAGGCAACATGAGGAGTGAAAGTATCTTTATTATAGCAGCTACGAAGATAATAATAATAATAATAGCTTAAAGGGGGGGGGCACACTGTCACAGCAGGTCAGGCCTCCACTTGCACTGCCAGCATCCTGTATCGGGGTAGCAGTTCAAGTCCTAGCTGCTCCACTTCCAATCCAGCTTCCTGCTGACGTGCCTGGGAAGGCAGTGGTTGATGGCCCAGTGCTGTATTCCTGCTACTAATATGGGAGACCTGGATGGAGTTCCTGGCTTCGACCTGGCCTTGCCCTGGCTGTTACGGCCGTTTGAGGAGCAAGCCATCAAGTGGAAGTGCTCTCTTCCTCTCTGTCACACTGCCTTTCAAATAAATAAATAAATCCTTTTAAAAACAACATTTTAAGGGTGCTTCCTAACTGCCAGGCACTACAAGTACTCTACAAATGCCTGCAGGTATTGATTCACTTAATTAGCACAGCAACCCTGTCAGGTAAGCACTGTTGTCAACCTTGTCATTTTGCAGATATGCACAAACATGTTAAGTGATTTGCCCAAAGGTACATAGCTTATAATGCATCAAGGATTTGAAGCAAGGACAGCTTGGCTCCAAAATACTCACTTTTAACCACAGCTCTATGCTGCCTATATACTTTTTAATATGTATGTATTTATTTATTTATTTGAAAGTCAGAGTTACATAGAGAAGGAGAGGCAGAGAGAGAGAGAGAGAGAGAGAGAGAGGTCTTCCATCCGTTGGTTCACTCCCCAAATGGCCGCAATGGCCAGACCTGCGCCGATGCAAAGCCAGGAGCCAAGAGCTTCTTCCAGGTCTCTCATGCAGGTGCAGGAGCCCAAGGACTTGAGCCATCCTCTACTGCTTTCCCAAGCTATAGCAGCGAGCTGGATCAGAAATGAAACAGCTAGGACTTGAACCAGCGCCCATATGGGATGCCCATGCCCCCCCCCTTTAAGCTATTATTATTATTATTATTATCTTCCTAGCTGCTATAATAAATGCTGCAGTGGCTTTACCAGCTACATCACAGCGCCAGCCCCGCCTATATACTTTTGTGCTCTGACTTCTTATTTCTTTAAATTTTACTTATTTATTTATGTATTTATTTAGAAAGGCAAGGAGACAGAGACAGAAGGAGACAGACAAATCTTGCATCTACTGATTTACCCACCAAATGTCCACAACAGCCAGGGCTGTACCAGACCAAAGTTAGAAACCAGGAACTGAATCCAGGTCTCCAGGGTGTGTGTTTGGTCCAGAGGTACAGATGCCACATGGAGGGCCACATATTGGAGTATCTGGGTACAAGTTGCAGCTCCACTTCTGATTCCAGCTCCCTGCTAATATGCATCCTATGGAGGTAGCAGGTGATGGTTCAAGAACTTGGATCCCCCCTACTCCACATGAGGGACTTAGACTGAGTTCTGGACTCCTGGCTTCAGCCTGGCCCAGCCCCAGCTATTGCAAGCATTTGGGGAGTGAACCAACAAATGGAAGATCTCTATCTCTGTCTCTCTGCCTTTCAAATAAATTTTGTTATACCATGTGGGTGGCAGAGACCCACTTACTTAAACCATCACCTGCTGCCTCTCAAGGTCTGCATTAGCAGGAAGCTGGATTCAGAAGCAGAGCCAGGACACTACCTTAGACACTCTGACATGGACTGTGGGCCTTCCAAGTCCATGGCCTCCCACTATGCCAAATGCCAGCCCCTTAGCAATGTTTGTATCTCACGGAGATACACTAGGGTGTATTTATTTTATGCCACTCCCCTTTTGCATTTGACACTAATGATCAAGCTCTCCTTAATACTTCTGCCCCCCTGGCTTTATAATACTGCATTTTTTGGCTTTCATTGTAGCTCTATATCCTTTTCTCTCTCTTGTCTTTCCTGAATGTTTGTCCCTTAAGTATTGATATTTCCTCATTTTCTAGTCTCATCCTACTGCTGTTATCATATACACTCTTCTACCCATTTGTTCAGTAACTGTTTATCTAGAAGATCTGAAATTATGAGATACCATAAAGAAGAAATGGAGATCATACCCTCAATAAATTTGGAGTGAGGGTGGGAGGCATAGAGAAGGAAATTGGCAGTGGTCAACATGGGGTTAATGGAACCACAAAAGTGCACTACTGTAGCCACAAGAACACAGAGTGAGCTGCCAGGCCTCTGTCTCATCAGGGCATGTAGTCACTCTGCTTCCAGACAGAGCCTCCAACCCTGGGCTACCAGCTTCTATAAGGCAAAGAGGCTTTACAAATCAATAGTCTGTCATCCCTGTAACCCAGTCAGTTGCTGCAGAATATTGGAGTCTCTGCTTCAGGTCAAGGAACAGCAGGACCAGTATTCTTTGAGCTCTCTCAATCTACCTCCTTGTTTCAGCTGCTACTCTTACAGTGATAACTCTCAGGTCCATCCCTGGCCTGGAATTCTTCACTGTACTTCTATCTTACCTCACTGACCACCTGATAAACATTCCCACCTCTACGCTATGTCTCACATCAAGCTCAACATGACCAAAACCAAACTCCTTGTCTCCTGGCACAAACTGGCTCTCCCTTGGGCATTCTATACCATGGTTGTGGATAGCATCTTCTACTCAGTGGCTGAAGCTACAAGGCCAGAAGCCATCCCTTACTTAGGCTTTTTGCCTCATTTCTCAGTCCACCAATCAACAAAGCCAGTCCCTCTCGTTGTCCTAGAGGCATTACCTTCACTCCAGTCCTATTACCACTGCCTCAGTTGAGGTCCTCTTGAGGTCTTGCCTGCCCAACAACTCCTCATTGCTGGACAAGCAGCCTAATCACCGTGGCTAATCCCCACCAAGCACTCTCCACACAGCTGCCAGTGATCTAGCAAAAAGAGTCAACCATTTCACTGTCCAGCTTAGAACTGAACACTTCCCTAAAGGAAAGCAGGGGTTTGCAACTATTTTTCTGCTCCAAACAACTGGGGAACACTATCTACTTCCATCACAAACAGTCTACACTGCAGCATGATTTTCATTGAGCAAAGGGCTGTCCTTGGCCTCACTGAGATCCCTGACTTACTAGAGTAAGTCTTGGCCGGCGCCACGGCTCACTAGGCTAATCCTCCGCCTGTGGCACCGGCACCCCGGGTTCTAGTCCCGGTTGGGGCGCCGGATTCTGTCCCGGTTGTTCCTCTTCCACTCCAGCTCTCTGCTGTGGCCCGGGCAGGCAGTGGAGAATGGCCCAAGTGCTTGGGCCCTGCACCCGCATGGGAGACCAGGAGGAAGCAGCTGGCTCCTGGCTTCGGATGGGCGCAGCGCGCTGACCGCAACGTGCCGGCCGTAGTGGCCACTTGGTGGTGAACCAACGGAAAAGGAAGACCTTTCTCTCTGTCTCTCTCACTGTCTAACTCTGCCTGTCAAAAAAATAAAAATAAATAAAAAAGAGTAAGTCTAGGGACCTGCCTCTCCTCCATGATTGTTGTTTCTCTCCAACTTTAACCTGGACATCTAACAGTGCCAAAGTGCCTGTACCCTCCTACCAAGTCCAGGATGTTTGCTGTCTTTGAGCTTTTGTTTATGCTGTCCCTCTCCCTGGAACACTTTCCCATCACCACTCATTCCCTCAGTTTGACCCAGTCCTTGGTGACCTAATCAGCATTTTCTCTCAGATGGCTCTCCCTGTCCTTGGCTGACGTGGATACCAATTCTATATTCAGATTCTGTCTCCATCACACATTTCTTTCTATTTTACTCTGTAATGTTTGTAATATTCTTATAAAATTTCTTCTCACTATTCGCAACTAAACATTTTGATTGTCTATCAGTTCCTAGCCTCCTCCACAGGCACTGCCCAACCTACAAACTCGGTGACTATCAAGTAGTCTGGGAACATAACTCATGTGATATTTGTAACTGTGGCCTATAAACCAAAGATAGTTTAAGGTAACTACAGTAAACTTCTTTTCTCTCCCTGCAGGTGAAGAGAGCTACTGATAACTATAATTTAGGAATTGCCCTTGAGCATCGAAGAGAAATGCTAAACCTCTGGCGGAAGATCCGAGGGGATTTGATTGGGATAGAGACTAATAATGAGTCCTTTTATGACACCTTCTCTACTTACACATGGTCCTGGAATGTTTGCCAAGAATTGCTTTCTCCTAAGGACTTACGGTTACATGATGCCTACATGAACAGAAGCTCCTTCCACCACTCTGGCTTCTCTTCCTCACCGGATATCAGTGAGCGCGACACAGAGACAGGAAGGAAAAGGAAAAGGAAAAGTTTCAAAGGATTTCGACAATGAAATTTCTACGTTTTCTAAACAGCTCATCGTAAACTACTTTTTCATAGTTATCAAAATTATGCTTTCTTGATTTTGTCTGGTACATTCTTTGCAGCTGGAAATTTTGACATCTTTTGGATTCTGACCAGTAAAATTTAAGTCATAAAATGGTTTCCCTTTTCTAAGTCTCTACTAGCAAATAGGCGCCTAGCAATCAGCTGCAGTCTGCTGCCCCCAGCTGGCTAAAAGCTGCCTGCGCCTCAGCAGGGAGGAAGAGATCTGGCCTTTGAGCTAAGGACTCGGCAAGTCATGAGCACCCGAGGTTTTGGTATCACTGTGAAAGAGACCAGAGACGACAGATGAAAAAGACCTTTCATTTTCATGGAATAGAATCACCAGCACCCCGGGACCCTTCACTAAAGTGGGTGTTCCCAGGTTCCTCAGTCACACACCTGCACACCACCTATTGCTTGGATTACTCTTAAAAATAGATGGTCTCACTCATCACATTTGTTGTTGCATACTTTAACACATTTAATATAGAAGCACACATAACTGGGGTTGACACTGCGGCACAGTGGGTTAAGCCACCACCTACGGCACCAGCATCCAATATGGATGCTGGTTCAAGTCCTGGCTGTTCCACTTCCAATCCAGCTCCCTGCAAATGTCCCAAATGCTTGGTCTCCTGCACCAATGTGAGAGACCTGGATAAAGCTCCTGGCTCCTGGCTTCAGCCTGGCCCAGCCCTGGCCATTGCAGCCATTTGGGGAGTGAACCAGCAGATGGGAGATTCTCTTTCTCTCTCTCTCCCCCCTCACCCCTTGTAATTTGGCCTTTCAAAAAAGAAAGAAATCTCTTTTTTTAAGATTTTATTTTATTGGCTGGCGCCGTGGCTCATTAGGCTAATCCTCCACCTTGCGGCGCCGGCACACCAGGTTCTAGTCCCGGTCGGGGCGCCGGATTCTGTCCCGGTTGCCCCTCTTCCAGGCCAGCTCTCTGCTGTGGCCAGGGAGTGCAGTGGAGGATGGCCCAAGTCCTTGTGCCCTGCACCCCATGGGAGACCAGGAGAAGTACCTGGCTCCTGCCATCGGATCAGCGCGGTGCACCGGCCGCAGCGCACCGGCCGCGGCGGCCATTGGAGGGTGAACCAACGGCAAAGGAAGACCTTTCTCTCTGTCTCTCTCTCTCACTGTCCACTCTGCCTGTCAAAAAAAAATTATTTTATTTTATTTATTTGAAAGAGTTACAGAGAAAGAGACAGAGAGAGAGGTCTTCCATCCGCTGGTTCACTCCCCAGATGACCACAACAGCCAGAGCTGTGCTGATCCAAAGCCAGGAGCCAGGAGCTTCTTCCAGGTCTCCCATGTGGGTGCAGGGGCCCAAGGACTTGGGCCACCTTCTACTGCTATCCCAGGCCATAGCAGAGAGCTGGACAGGAAGAGGAGCAGCCAGGTCTCGAACTGGCGCCCATATGGGCTGCCAGTGCTTCAGGCCAGGGTTTTAACCCACTGCACCACAGCACCAGCCCCAAAAGAAAGAAATCTTTAAAAAGAGAGAAAACTTGTTTTGGTTGAAAAAACTTGAAGTCTATGCATAATTTTTTCTTAATATGCATTTCCAATGAACCTTCTGAAGATCCCTAATATGCATCAATTTCAAAAATTCATGTACCAGTATTTATCTTTAATTATATTTCCATGAACTTTTTGAAGAACTCTCATATATGTTACATAAAATTTACTATTTTAATCGTATTTAAGTATGTATCATCCAGAACATTTTGATTCTTCCCAGCTCCACTCTTAAGAGTTCTTAGAACATTTGTCTGTGGTTCTTTATGGCTGACCACAGACAGATCACTTCTAGACTCAGGAAATCTGAATCTACGAAGTTGTAATCCACATTAACCTATGTTAGGGTAGCAAAAGTGCTTCATCTCCTGTGTCAATACTTATCTAAAAATGTAAGGGGTTAGATCACCTATTTTTAACAGTCTTCCAAGAGACTGGTTTGCAGTTGTGTGACTACGTCCACCCTAACTGGCATACACATACTTTTAAAATCATTATTCTCAAAAAGTATGATCCAGAGAACAGAAATGTTCAATATTGATGAGGACAGATTATGATTTAAAATTATCAAAAAGCAATGAAAATAGTGAGCGATTCCAAAACTATTTACTGAAATACCCTTGAAGTATTTTTGCATTATCTGAATATGTGAGAGTCTAAAAATATTTGCCATTCTTTACAAACTTGCGATGTTAGAGAAAAGAACCTTATAGATAAGTAATCATATTTTCTAATCCAAAATCAAGAATAATGATTTGACAGGAGACTTTTTTAGAATAGCTATGAGTATAATAGGGAATGTAAGAGACATAATTTGGATGCCAAAATATTAGAATTCTTAGAATATTCCTTGTATTTATAGGATGACAAGACAGAATGTTTCTAAGTAGGTCTGTCCAGGAAAATCTAAAATGCACCTTTACATTGTCACACACCATCAGGACAGTTATCAGTGGGCATCTCTCTGCAGAACACAGTATAGCAATTGGTACTCTTCCCTCCTCCCCTCAGTCTTTACTGAGTTGCATACTGTGTGCTGGCCAGTGAACAAACATAGCATGTCGTGCTCTCAGAGCTTAGTATCGGAGCTAATTATATCCATTGACTCAGCAATTCCTCCTCCAGAAATTAACCCTTAAGAAATAATTGTAAATGTACAAAATGGTTGAGTTACAAGGATGTTTATCATGTTAAATTTTTGGTAGTAAGAAACTTGAAATAGCCTAAATGTCTAATAAAGCATGTGACAGCTATATATAAAACAATACTAGGTCATTAAAAATATATAAAGGTATATTTCAAACAAAGAAATAATATTCCCAGGAATAATATTCTATGGTTAAGTTAAAAAGTAGGCAACAACTACCAGGAGGCACCAGGGGACTTTCTTGTATTGTTCTAAAACTTGATTAGGACAATGGATATAAAAATATACATTTTTATGAAAACTTCTAGAACTGTACACTTAGATGTACGGTTTTACTTGTACAGATTTACTTGTATATAAATTATAACTCAATGAACTATTAAAAATAAGGCACAAAGTTCTGAAACCGTTTTAACTTAAAAATTATTTATGTAAGTTAGGGGAGAAAAAAGACTGGAGGACATAAATCAAAGTGTTACTAGTTAAATGAATGCTTGGAATGGACATTTTCTTTTATCTTCCAAATGTTCTACAAAACACATGTTGCTCTGCAATTTATTTCTGCAACCTTTAAACAGAAACTGTTCAAAGATGGAGGCTGTTAAAGCAGTTTACTAACTACCTGGGGCTGCTAGAAAAGCTGAGAACCCTGAAGGAGAGCCAATTCCGATGCCACTGTCCTTTCCCAGCCCTTCAATTCCAAGAGCATGTGCTTCAACAGCCCAGAATGCCCACTTCTTAGAAGTGAAAGAAAAACATGAAACAGTTAACTACCCCTGTCCTGAGCTAACATTCAAAACAGTAATCCAGAATGCGGGTTTTTAACTTTAACAAGCTTTGAACCCCTGCCACCCACGGAGCTAGAGTTCTCCCCACTCACCAGCAGAGGGACCCTCAGCGCCTTTGAAACTAGTGTCTCTGAGCTACCGCCCAGTGTGAAGCCTGTACCACGAGAACCCACACCATGCCTTAACTTCTTAGGAAAACCATTTAGGTGCTTCAAAAGGTGGAAAGAAAAAAAAAAAAAAAGGAGTTCCACAGGTCAGAGATGACTGTATAAAACTGAGTTTAGGACAGTTTAGAACATTTCACAAAAAGGACCCAAGCTTTTTGACATTTAAAACTACTCTTTCAGAAAAAAAAAAAAAAAAAAGGGATGAGGCCAGCACTGTGGCACAGTGGGTTAAGACACAGCCTGCAGAGTTGGCATTCCACGTGGGCATCAGTTCAAGTCCCAGCTGCTCCTCTTCCGATCCAGCTCCCTGCTAATCTCCTGGGAAAGCAGTAGAAGATGGCCCAAGTCCTTGGGTCCCTGCACCCACGTAGAGACCTGGAAGAAGCTCCTGGCTCCTGGCTTCTCCTGGCCCAGCCTCCTCATTATGGCCATTTAGGGAGTGAACCAGTGAACGGAAGATCTCTCTTGTCTTTCCTTCCCTGTGACTCTCTGCCTTTCAAATAAATAAATCTTTAAAAATAAACTTTAAAATATAAACAAATAAGGGGGGAAAAAGAAAAAAATAACTTCCAGTAAAGACAGAGTAAGCTATCTGTAACAAAATATGTAGTGGGACTCGACTGGGAACACTAAACAGCTTCTAGTGAGAGGCGAAAACCAGAGATGAGAAACCAAGATGACAAATAAATATAAATCAGCCATCATCTCTTCAAACAACTGAGCTTGAGCAAAGATAGAAATCCTTGTAACTTGTTTTTCTGGAAAGAAGTTTCTATTCAAAGTGTTTCAAAAGACCACAAAAATGCAACTTTTTTTTTTTTCAAATAAAATGTGAGTTCTTTATTATCTCTTTTTTTATCATTACCTCGCATATTTTTGTGAGGCCAGGACTCGGAGCTTGTTCCCACTCCTCTCATTGCTCCCTTTGGTTTTACTATAGAACCTGCACTGCACTAAGTAACTAGATCCTTTCCTTCTCTGCCAAGTGAAAGTCTTCTCAACCAACCTTATGTTCTTCTAGGAATCAATTTGCAGTAATTATAGAAATAGAAACGCAAGGGGCCTGCACTGTGGTATAGTGGGCTAAGCTCCGCCTGAGGCAGCTGTATTCCATATGGGCACTGGTTCATATCCCAGCCGCTCCACTTCCGATCCAGCTCTCTGCTGTGGCCTGGGAAAGCAGTAGAAAATGGCCCAAGTCCTTGGGCCCCTGCACCTTGTGGGAGACCCAGAGGAAGCTCCTGGCTCCTGGCTTCGGATCGGTGCAGCTCCGGCCGTTGTGGCCAATTGCGGAGTGAACCAGCGGATGGAAGACCTCTCTCCCTCTCCCTCTGTCTGTAATTCTGAAATATTTTTAAGAAAATAGAAATGTAAGCTTGAAAATGCGGTAATATAGTAAACTGTATGTCCATATTATAATCTTGTTTGCGCTAATCAGCCCAGCAGGATGATTCAAAAAGATGGTTAGACTGTTTTTTCAAACGTGTCCTTAATGTTCCGTTCCATTTGACTGGTAGGCCTCGAGTCCTAGGAGTTCACAGACACCACTGCTACCACCCCCCGTGTCCGCACACCAGGGGAAACCGCGCGTGGGCGCCCTCCGCCTGCTACCCTCGCCCTTGGTGGCATCCGCTCCTCGGTGAGCCATTGGAGACTTCCGCCTCACAGCGTGCGGGGACCGGGAGCCAAGACTGTCTCCCGCATCCTCCCCAGGCTGCACATCCACCGGAGCGTCTCGGAGCGAAGCGACTCGGGGGACAAATCCCACCAGCGCAGGCCCCCCTCAGAGAGCCCCGCGGCCGCCCCACGTCGCGGGCGCCGAGCGCGCGCCGCTCGCCCCCTCTTTTCCCGCCCAGCCCCAGGGCCTCCCGGAAGGGGCGTGGCCCGCCGGAAGTCCTCGCGCCACGGAAAGGAAGGCGTTTCCGGCTCCGGCGTCATGGCTGACAGCGGCCCTGAGGAGGCGCCGGCCGCGGGCGGCGGGAAGAGGCAGCAGTTCGGGAGCCGGTTCCTGAAGGACCCGGCGCGCGTCTTCCACCACAATGCCTGGTAGCCGCCCTGCCCCTCGCCCAGTCTGCGTGTCCCCCACCGCGGAGGGCTCCGAGAAGCCCCTGACCGCTGGCCCCAGCGGAGGCGCGCTCCTCCCGGGGCAGGTGCGCCCCCGGACCAGCGACTGAGCCCGCCGGCGGCCGGGCCGTGAGAGCGCTAAGCTGCCCGTTTGGTTTCCTCAGGGACAATGTGGAATGGTCGGAAGAGCAGGCCGCGGCGGCGGAGAGGAAGGTCCAGGAGAACAGTTCTCAGCGCGTGTGCGCGGAGAAACAAGGTGCGCTCGGGGTGTCGGCGGCCGGCGGCCAGCGGAACGCGTCTCCCGGGGAGGCCGGGGAGCCTTTGCTACTGGCCGGAGTAGAACGCGAGGAGGGCATGGGGAAGGAGCGGAGAGGCTGCGCCTTGGAATCTGGTTAGGGTTTGCAGGATGCTCTGACCGGGAAGCGGGTTTCTTCGTGGTGGTTTCTGTTTGGGGAGAGTAACTGTCTATCGTTTTCTAGTGGTTGTATGTTTTGTTACCTGCGTGAGTCTCTGGCAGCCATTAGATCACATCTCCGTCTCTTTTTCTGTAACTCTACCTTTCAAATAAATAAATAAATAAATAAAATCTTTTAAAATAGATTTAAAAAATAAAGATAGGGCAGGTTGATACTATATGATAAAAGACAATTGATGCTAGGACTCCAGTTTTGGAAGTAGGACCCACTGAAAGGGTTTTGCACCACCGTGGAAGATTCCGGTTAGCAGATATTCACCCTGCTTAGCTTGACAGAGACTAGATCAAAGCAAGTTAGAGTTGAAAGGGATTTTGAAAATTTCCTCTTTATTGTTCAAGAAACTTGCACACAGGCACAAGTCTAGTGCTTTGCTGAGAGGTCAGTAGTTGCACTGGGGACACTCAAGCCCATTCTTAAAGGCTTTTATTCTACACAGTGAAGGCCCTGAGGCTCCTGGATCACCCTAAAACAGCAGTCCGCCTGTCCACTGTCCGTCCTCCTGTCCACCAATTCATCACTGCTCGCCTGAACTCGCTTCTCCCTCCTGCCGGCATTTTCTGCTTTCCTTTCAGACTTGTTTCATGTTCAGTTCTGATAGTAATATTTAGTTCATTTTGGAGCTCCACACTCTTAAAGCCACAGACAGGAGCTCATTTAAGGAAGAGCTACCTGGGTAGTAGCCATGGAGATTGTGTTTGGAACAACTGAAGAGCCTGGGACATTCAGCTTCCAAAAGAGAAGAGGAGGCCCGCGCCGCGGCTCACTAGGCTAATCCTCCGCCTAGCGGCGCCGGCACACCGGGTTCTAGTCCCGGTCGGGGCGCCGGAGTCTGTCCCGGTTGCCCCTCTTCCAGGCCAGCTCTCTGCTGTGGCCTGGGAGTGCAGTGGAGGATGGCCCAGGTGCTTGGGCCCTGCACCCCATGGGAGACCAGGAAAAGCACCTGGCTCCTGGCTCCTGCCATCGGATCAGCGCGGTGCGCCGGCCGCGGCGGCCATTGGAGGGTGAACCAACAGCAAAAGGAAGACCTTTCTCTCTGTCTCTCTCTCTCACTGTCCACTCTGCCTGTGGAAAAAAAAAAAAAAAAGAGGAAGGTAACTGCTCTCCAGTGTGCAGGCATTCTGGACGGCCCTGAGGAAGTCTAGGAACTTTGGCTAGAAGCGGTGAGACAGATTTGTGCTTGATTTTAGAATTTTCCAGCAGTTAAGAGGCATCCAAAGACATGGGAACGTTGATAGGTAGTAAGTTCCCTGACAGTTCAAGCAGAAGTTAGGCTCCCTGGGGAATAATGAAAAGGGAGGACTCAACTATAAGGAATGATACGTGGCAAGACTGACTCCGAGAGACTGGTTCTGCGTGAGAGTGCTTGGAGTATAAAATGGCATTTGGTGAATCAGGGTAAGTGACGTTAGATTTAACTATTTCAGATCTGATTGTTTTTTCCTCAAATTTTTACAGTTGATTATGAGATCAACGCACATAAATACTGGAATGACTTCTACAAAATCCATGAAAATGGGTTTTTCAAGGATAGACATTGGCTTTTTACTGAATTCCCTGAGCTGGCACCTAGCCAAAACCAAAATCCTGTGAAGAGTGGAATGCCTGAAAGCAGAAGCAGCGAGGGCGGACCTGGGTCAGCAGCAGAACAGCACGAGCGTTCTTGGAACAGCTTTGGCCATGAAACGCAGCTGCCTCCTGTGCAGGAGAGCGTGGCTCAGCAACTCAGCCGCCTGGACATTGGTGCAGATGAGTTTCCTGGATGCTCAGCCACCTACCGAATACTCGAGGTAATCTCTTTTGTTTTTGTTTTTGTTTTTGTTTTTGTTTTGTACTGCTAGTTAGTTAAGCTATCATGTTGGGCACATGGGGTAGCATATAAAGGCTGACTGAAATGTGACTTTTGTCTGCTGACGCTGTCTCGATTTGCCTGGAATCATCTCCACTGTTGAATTAACAACATGCCCTAAACACAAGCAGACGTCTGATTGTGACAGACAAAAGTAGATCACCTGAGGTGCACCTTGGGAATACCAGGTAGCCGATGCTCTGGGGAAAAGCCCCTAAGACTTGTTACTTTTCTTCTAACAGAATCAAAGGAAGTGGGCTATGCTAGTCTTCTACCTGGGGGAATTCTTATCTTGGGTTCTAGCTTGGATGGGTCTACAGATGCTGGCGTGGGGAAAGCACTGAGGCGGGCACCGTCACATAATGCACTGATAGGGACTGCGTCCTCCACTGGGAGCTGGTTCTGGAGCCCTGGGGTTGAGACTGGTCACATGATTTCAAACAAGTACCTCACCACCACCACCACGCTTATCAATGGGATTTCTTCCTCTGCCTCATACGTATGAGGATTGTGATAATATATACAGAATGTCTAAGAACATATTCTGGCATGCAGTAATCCCACAGTAAATGGCCTGGTTTTTGTGTGGGGGTTTTGTTGTGTCTTAATTGAGAGGCAGAAGCAGACACAGAGTTCTGTCTGCTGGTTCACTCCCCAAATGCCTGCAGTGGCCAAGGCTAGGTTGGAGCCAAAGCTAAGAGCCAGGAATTCATTGCAGCTCTCCCCACATGGATGGCAGGAATCAATCACTTGGACTATCCCTTCTGCTCCCAGGGTCTGCAGTAGCAAGAATGCTAGGATCAGCAGCTAGAAGCAGGAATCAAACCCAGGTATTCCAGAGTGGGATATGGGTATCTGAACTGCTAGACTGAATACCCACTCAATGGTTGCTAATTTTTTTTTTTTAAGATTTATTTATTTATTTGAAAGGCAGAGTTATAGAGAGGCGGGGGAGAAAGAGAGAGAGAGAAAGAGATCTTTAGTCCACTGGGTTCACTTCCCAAATGGCCACAATGGCTGGAGCAGCACCAGACCAAAGCCAGGAGCCTGGAACTCCATCCAGGTCTCCCACTTGGGTGCAAGACCGCAAATACTTGGGCCATTTTCTGCTGCTTTCCCAGGCACATTAGCAGGGAACTGGATTTGAAGTAGAGCAGCTGGGACTTGAACTGGTATTCACACGGCAAACTGGCATAGGCGGTAGCTTCTGCTGTACTGCGCTGCCTGCCCTATGGTTGCTGTTTTTCTGTTTTTGTAGGGCTAGGTTACTGTGGTCCCCTTTTCATAAAATTTTCAGCTCAGCCAATTAGAAATAGTTTTCCAATAATTTAGTGGAGTTCATTAAGAAAAAATTTCATCTACAGGACCATATGCTAGAAGCCCATGTTCTTGTCTTCGAGCTGTCCCTTTAAGGGTTCCTGAGGTCAAGATCAGGGAGTGCTGTGGGTTCTATTTAACTGATATGGCACTCAATGCAGTTAGGCAAGGTTATGTGTTGTTAGGTGTTTGTTATTTATCTTGCTGCAGGAACTTAATTCTTTAGGAAGTCCTGTGACTGATAATTTGTTTCTGTCTGCAGGTTGGTTGTGGTGTAGGAAACACAGTCTTTCCAATTTTACAAACTAACAAGTAAGTATGTGGTCAGGTTTAACTACATGACAGCAAAGAGGGAAAATATGAATGTTGTTTTTCAAAACTCTTGCTGTATCAAACTGTCGCTGGTGGTTATCCTGAAGCACGGATTACGGGGAGTTTAGATTTCTGCCTTATCTGTTAGTGGGTTGTTTTAATTTAGTTTGAGTTACCTTTGTCATCAGGGCATTTTGTGAGATTTAAAGGCGTTGCAGTGTAGTGCCTCCTCTGAGGTGCTTGCAGCGGGTGCCTCCCCGCCCTCGTCAGCTCTCCGCTGTCGCTGTCGTCAGCGCCGTGGTCGTGTTGAAAGCTGAGAACGCGCTGAGGAAAGCACACTGGTTTTGTACACCACACAGAACACTTCTGCCACCAGATGAGTAGGTTTTTCCCAACACTGACCAAATCCCGAATCTCCAGTACTAGCTGGCCATGCTGCAGTTCCATGCTGACACTCTGTACCTGGAGTTAGCTTCAGATCCTCTTAGCGAGCTCAGTCCCACGACACTGCCCACTACTGCAGGTGCCTGGTGCAAGTCTAGGCCTCCCGTGTGTGTGCCTGTCCTGCAGGGTTCCCACACCCACCTCCTTGTGGTTGAGAATTTCCTAGAACAAGTCACAGAACTGTTTTGCTCAGCTGTGTCTTATGAAGCACGTTCTGGGACAGGGGCCCCTGTTCTCACGCACACTACGACTGTTACACAAACACTGGACTCACCTCCAGGAAGGGAACATTCATTGAGTAAGGCCTGTAGGAGAAAGGGGCGAGTCACAGCCAGGCCCAGATCCATGCATGTCCCTGCACAGAGAGAGGTGCAGGAATTTATGGGACTAGGGTGACGGGCAGAACTGGGTGAGACAAAGCTACAAAACCAAATGGGGCAGAGGAAGGGCTGGGGAAAGTCCCTTGAACACGCACCTTGACAGATCGTGGCTTACATGCAGCGTATGTTCAAAGACGGCTGCTAAAACGTCATTGCAGGTGTGTCATTTGATGTTAGAGTGACTGCAAGGTGGCCCTCCATCGGCCTGGGTTGATCTGACGTGCACAGGTTCCAGTCACAAGGTTGGCTGCAGCTACTTCTATCCAGTCTTTTCCAGGGACCCTGGTAAGATGGATCAGAAGGTTGTTTTTTTGTTGTTGTTTGTTTTTTTTTTTTTTGGTTTTTTTTTGTTTTTTGCAAAAGCAACTATTATGGGACTGCAAGTTAGTATGCAACAGGAAGGCAAAGAACTCTCATGGGCTGTTAGTGTGTTGGGCAGCCATGGAAAGCTTGCTGTTGAGCAAGGGGAGTGGAATCTTTTGTTGTCCTGGATTGAGTTCCTGGCTTTGGCGTCAGTCCAGCCCTGGCTGTCATTGGCATTTAAATTATGGACCAGTGAAAGGGAGCTCTCTGTCTCTGCCTCTCGAAATGTTTATTTAATAGCCACAGGTAGCTAGTGACTCCCATACTGAACAGAGCCGATCCACCGAGTCTGGTCTTCATTGTGCCTCCCAGAAACTGTGGATCAGCAGTTTGGAGGGCAGCAGAGCTGGGGCCTTTGAGAAGGTAGAGTTGGCTCCAGGAATAAGCCCAACAGTGCAGAATAGCCTTCCCCTGCCCCCACCTCCTTATCCTCCCCAACCAAAAGTTCTGAAGCTCTGGGTTGCTTTGTAGTAGGATGTCTTCTGAATAAATGCACAGCGCATTTTCTAATTGACAATAATTCCGGTAGTTATTAATGCCAGTATTGCAGTTTTTTGTATAGTTTCTTTGTGCTATGACTTTTGTTAGACATTGGGGAAAATAAAAATAAGCACAGGGACTTTGTCATTTCATCTTTGTCTCTTAGCATCTGGGGTAAATCCTGTGCATAGGGGGTCCTCCGTGGATGTTTGACCAAATTTGCTATCACACCATTTGCTGTGCTGTGGGGCGGGCGGACAGGCAGGTACAGATGTGGTCTTTGCTATCACACCATTCCCTGTGCCGTGGGGCGGGTGGGCACAGATGTGATCCTGGCATGGAGAAAGCACCAAGGCAGCCCAGAGAGCTGATAGGGGAATTCTCACGGTGCTTGTCGCTCCCCCTCTTCGTGGAGGAACGACACAGGACCCTGCGCTGTTCTTTCGTCTGCTCGGCCCTCCCCGGGTTTGCTGCTGGTTCTTCCCGGGTTGGCTACTATCCTACTATCCCTTCCACCTCCGTGGAAGGGCAGTTCCCCCTGGCCACATTCCCCACTTCCGCAGGGGAGCGGCACACCGCCGGCCGGCTCTTCTCGGGGGCTGCACAGGTGTTCCTTCAGCTAGATGTTCCCCTTAGATGTTCCCCTTAGATGTTCCCCATAGATGTTCCCGGTACATGCCGTCTCTCTCCTCCTTTATAGTCCTCCTCCGCCAATCCCAACTCGGCTGCCCACACGCCGAGTACGCTGCTCTCCAATCAGGAGCAAGTCCTACAGTTTATTGGTTAAACTGGAGGCAGCTGTGCGGAAGCTGTTTACTTCTCTCCCATCGCCATATTGTGGGAGAGCAGATGCATAGAATAAGTCTTAATTCCAGTAACTCAGTCTAGTCCGGTTTGCTCCCCACAGTGCTGTTAGGCAAGGCCTGATCTGAAGGAAAAATAGGATTTCTGAAGGCAGAGGAAGAAAAGAGGACATGGTTTTGAAGCTCTCTGGTCATTTGATAAACTTAATATTAGCTGTATCTGCAGGGCCCAAAGAAGGGTATAACATGAAAAAGGGGTTTTACTGAAATGAAATATGTTGTGTCTTACAAGTGTGGCTTCCTTGCATGAATGGTACCGTATTTTAACTCTGCTACACAAGAAAGAGAATAGACATACAGCTGTTGGTAGCCTAACTTCTGGGTTTTTTTGCTCATTTCAGCGACCCAGGACTCTTTGTCTACTGTTGTGATTTTTCTTCCACAGCTGTGGAGCTGGTCCAGGTAAGTGCAGTGGCTCCTCTCATCTGTCTCTCTCATCAGAGGAAAATGGGGGCTCCTAAAGTTCAAGATCTCTAGCTGTATTCCTGTTGTAAGTGGTCTGGAAATCAAAGATTCCTGGGAACAGCCCGAAGTCAGGATCCAGGCACAGGTGACGAATCTGCCACCTAGCACCTGGGAAACTTCCGGCAGGTTTTTTGACGCTCAGCTTGTGTTTTAAGGATTGAAATGAGATGATTCAGTCAAGGTTCTCTGAGTTACAAGTAACAAACTTGCAGACTGAAACAATGAAAGGGAACATCACAGTACCTAGGGTGTCAGGTGTAGCCCAGACCAGGGAAGGACTGGAACTTGGTCCTACAGAGGTGTGAGTTACAAGGCAAGCGGGGCTGGCTGGGGAGGAGTCGCCTCCCTCCCTGCCGCCATCGCTCCCGCCCAGGTTCCTGTTGCTTGCCTCTCACTGCCCAGCGCAGGAAGTATGTTTTCCCCTTGCGGAGCGGCTGTCTCTAGTAGGTGTTTCCTGAATTTGCGCCTTCCCTGGCGAGCTTCCCCTCATCAGTCTGTCCTGTTCAGGGCTTCACAGAGCCTCACCGGCATAGCTGTCCTGACTGCAGAAGCCCTGGGACGAGTCTGGGTAACACAGCCCAGCTGACGACTCTGCATCTTTGAATTGGCCATGGCCAGTGAGGAAGCACACCCCGGTTCCGGAGGAAAAGGCCAGGGCCAGGGAGGATGCCTGTTGCCACCCTGTACCTGCTGCTGGCACAGGCACTGAGGGACCAGCAGTTAGCTGCTCTGACAGGGTAAGATCAGATAAACATTGAGAGCTATCGTTACTTAATTTTATAATAACAAGGTATAGGTTGAATTTTCTTCATCTAGAACAAGATTTTCCTAGAGAATTCTGTGGCCTGTGTCATATTTCATAATTCAGAGTTGTTTTAAGTCATGGTTTTTAAATATTCTCTCCCTCCTTAGGAGGTTTTTCTTTTCCCTCTTGGACACTTATTTTCTTGATGATTTTCCAGTTGTCAGCTTTGACCTCACACGTGAGAAATTTAGAAATGGCATCAGAGTGCGAGTAGGGGGAGTGGAAATACCCCTTTTGAAAAGCACTGGTGAGGGGCTGTGGTGTAGTGAGTTAAGCCGCCATTTGTAGCACTGGTGTCCCATGTGGGCCACCGTTCAAGTCCTGGCTGCTCCACTTCACTCCACCTCCCTGTATGTGCCTGGGAAAACAGCATGGAATGGCTTAAGTGCTCGGGCCCCTGTACCCATGTGGGAGGCCCAGAAGAAGCTCCTGGCTCCCAGCTTCTGCTTGGCCCAGCTCTGTTCATTGCAGTCATTTGGGGAGTGAACCAGGGGATGGAAGATCATTCGATCTCTCTCTCTCTCCCTCTCCCTTTCTCTCCGTAACTCTGACTTGCAAATAAATCTTTTAAAAAAAGAACAGCCCTGGTGAGAGTCCATGGCGTCTTCTTGGTGTTTTTCCTGATTCCTACCCTGGAGTCCTGTCTGGAAATCGCGTGTTGTGATGACTGACACAGTTCCCCTGTTAGAAGTAGCAGGGGCAGCTTTTCACCAGACGATGTGGACATGTTCTAACCCACGGTCTCTTGCTGCTATGCAGACACATCCGGAATATGATCCTTCCCGGTGTTTTGCCTTCATTCATGATCTGTGTGATGAAACTCAGAGTTACCCAGTGCCTGGAGGCACTCTTGATGTCATCATCCTCATATTTGTTCTGTCAGCAATTGTTCCAGACAAGTAAGTTTCAGGACCCTTAGCCAGCAGCGTAACAAAAACAAAGCTTTGGTCCCAGACCCTGGTGTTGGAGTTGGCCCTAACTGAAGAGGGTTTTCTGTGTTCTGGTAGAGGGGAAAGCCGCACCCTCCGTATCGGTAGGAACATCTCAGCAGTTGTCCCCAACGTGTCTTCGAGTTGCCCTTCTGTTTCAGCCTATGAACTTCTGCTTGCCGGACGCAGCAGTTGGTTCTTTGCCTTCTGGTGGGAGGGTGCCCTCTTTAGTGAGAAAACAAACGCCAACTGAGCCTCTCAGAGCTTGCAGTTTCAGAACTGTGGGTGCTGCACTTGTTAGGGGAGATTCAGGATTGGCTTTGTAAATGCTTTCAGTAAGACAAGTATAGTAGCAGAGCAGAATTTATGTTGAAGGTTAACTGCCGTGTTCTCTGCTTAAGTTGTTTGGCAAAGTGCAGAACAGAATTCCCTAAAATCAGATCTAGAAGAAAGGAAAGTCAAATGCTGTGCTCTAAATGATACTAGAAAAACCTCATAGGCTTCGGGCAGCCAATAGTCCCTAAGATCCTATGTCTAAAGGAAACAGAATGGATCTGAAAGATCGGGCCCCATCCGCTGGTTCCAAAGAATCCCTAGTGAGCCCAGACAGGGGCCAGGGCTTGGCCGTGTATCAGTGGTCTGGGTAGACCACAGCCCAAAGGTATGCAGTTAGTTTCAAACATCTCTGAACATCAAAGCCAACTATAGGATAATGAAGTAAGTTAGCATTAGGGGGACCAGGTCAGCAGGTGTCAGAAAGCCAGATCACGTGGCTGAAGACATCACGAGGACCTGGTGCTAGCTCCGCAGGGCAGGAGCTCTGAGGGATCAGCTTCTGCAACCCTCTTTTCCTCTAACAGCACTGGAGTCAGCCCACCTGGCAGGGAGGGAGAGAGGGTGAAGTGAAGGACAGCCCAAAAGGCTTGGCCTGGTTCTAACGGTTAATAACTGCAGAAGTTTAAATGCTACGAACTGGAAGAATTGACACAGATGGAAAGAAAACATTCAGCGTTCACTATTCAAAAATTCAATTAACTTTGAAATGTTTTTTATTATAAGTCTGTAGCATTTCTGATTCTGAAGTTATGAAAGCTTAAACCTGACCGGGACTTTTGGAGAGCCTGCAGTGGGAAGTGCAGGGGAAATGTAGCGCCCCCTTCCTGCAGGACTGCTGTGTGCTGGTCGTGTCACCTGTGTCCAGTGTCTGTTCTGACTGACAGGTCTTCATTTAGCAAACAGAAAGACAAGGGCTCTGCACTGGACGCGCAGGTCCAGTGGGCAGACAGGTGCCTCGTTAGCAGTCCCCCCACTGAGTGGTCAGGGCTCGGCTCAGGCAGCCACGAGAGCACAGGTCAGGGATGGCCATCCCAGGGTGGAGAGGAAGCAAGTCAGATAATAGAGAGCCAGGCCCCTGGGAGTAGCTGGCAGTTGGCAGCTGACGTGTGCTCCGGCTCTAACCGAAGCAAGGGCAGAGGAGCCAGGATTTCGGGGTTGGTGTGGCAGAGGTAGGAAGTCCCCTAGCTTTTTGAGATAAGCTGCAGGGGAAAGGCACCTTGTCCCTAAGGAGACTGATCTTCCTCCGTGCTGCCCCCTCCGCCAAGGATGCAGAAGGCCATCAGCAGGCTGAGCAGACTCCTGAGGCCAGGAGGGATGATGCTTCTGCGAGATTATGGCCGCTACGACATGGCTCAGCTTCGATTTAAAAAAGGTATTCTTTTAATTTTATTGATTTATTTGAGAGGGAGAGGCAGTGAGAGAGGTTTTCCATCCACTGGTTCACTCCCCAAATGGCTGCAACAGCTGCAGCTGTGCCAATCAGGAGCCAGGAGCCTCCTCTGGGTCTCCCATGCAGGTGCAGGGGCCCAAGGACCCAGGCCATCTCCTACTGCTTGCCCAGGCCACAGAAGAGAGCTGGATTGGAAGAGGAGCAGCCGGAACCAGAACCAGTGCCCATATGGGATGCCGGCACCTTAGGCAGACAATTAAGCTACTGCGCCACAGTGCCTGCCCCAAGGGGAGTGTATTTTTGGAGAAAAGAGGCTTGTTTAATCTAGATATTGAGCTTTTGTTAACCAAGACAGCTACTTTTAGAAGAGCTATTTTTAGAAACACATTTGATTACATAAATAATTTTAAAGTATGATGTGACAAAACACGCCATAAGAAAGCTAAAGAAACATTTTCCATACATGTAACAAACTAGGGCTGGATGTCTGCTCTCCCAGGGCCTGCTATGGAATTGATAAGGGAAAGACAGTGACCCACCCAAAAAACCAGGCAGGGAGTAGTCAGTTCAGAGGACAGAAGAACGTGTCTAAACAGCTATTAAACCTTCAAGGAAATTAAAATAATGAGATGGTATATAAGCCTGTTACAGTGCAAAGGAAAGGGTCCAGTCCTCAATCGCTGGTAGACAGGGATTGTTGTGGCCTTTTTTTAAGCACCCTAGTGTTTATTCCGTCCAGCGATCTTAGGAACTCTCCAAGAGCTAGCTAGTCCATGGCACATGAAAGCAGGATCTTAGGGAATACATGAGGGCCTCCAGGTGGGGGCTTGGGGTGGTCCCTGCCTGCTGATCTGGGGGTTCTTTCGTGTTACAAAGGAAGAAAAGCTGTGGGTAGGTGAGTATTTAAAACTTGATCCCGTGTGTCACAGTCACTGAGAGAGAATACATGCTTCTGTGGGAGGAGGGGTGATAGGGACATTCAGGCCCCCGTGGGGCTGTAGAAGGACGGCTAGGGGAGTTGGCAGCAGCAGGGGCGCTTATCCACAATAAACATACATGAGTTAATCATGTTTGAGTGTGAAGATACGTGAAGAGGCCTGTAACAGGACAGGCACCAAGACAGTGGTGGTGACGACAGTGACTGTCTCCTGTATCCTGCAACAGCTGCGCCGCTGGCTTTTATTATTTATCAGCTGCTTGTGCTGCCGATGTAGTCAGGGAGGGGAGAGTAGTGAGCAGAGCTGTTTTCTAAGCAAGGAGCCAAGAATCGTTTCCTTTAACATTGGCATTTGCTTGTTCCCATTGAGCTGCTCTTCTCCAAAGCACTGTTCCAGGCAAGAAATTTCAGTTTCCTGCCAAGTGCACCCAACAAAGGAGTCTATCTAAGAAAGTGATATCTCGGTGCACATTTGATTAGTGATGAAATTGGAAGAAGTGCCTTACAATGACCCTAATTCATTTCGTGTCACTCTGCAGGTCAATGTCTGTCTGGAAATTTCTATGTGAGAGGTGATGGCACCAGAGTTTACTTCTTCACACAGGGTATGACTGTGCTAACCCCCAAACGCCACATTAGATGGTCATCAGTGTACCTTGAGAAGGGAAATAATCCGCCCCTTTGACCTTCCAGACAGCCTTTTCCCTAACAGTCCCCGCCCAGCCCCTACTGCCAAGCCACTCTGAGCTCTCAGACAGCCCTGGCTCATGCGTGCCTTCAGTCCACTGCTTTCCTCTTTGTCACTTTGTCCAGAGTGAGGAATCTACCCATTTGGTAAGACTCATCTCCAGTCCAGCCTGACTCGGCCTGTACACGCTGGGTTGTGCTTAGGTGTGCCCATGTCCGGGTATGTCATTCCCTGGGTTCCAGGTGTGACCCAGAACTTCTGCCTCTGTTCCTTGCCTTGTCCAAAAGCCTCATCACCCACCAGTGCCCTAGGAACACTGCATTCACGGGCCCATTGTTCAGTCACAGACTTTGAGCCACAGATAAAGTGATAAAACCTTTGCCTAAAAATAATTGCTTTAACCCATTGGTGGGTAAAATAAGTTAATTAATTTTTGCATATAATCTAAAGGTATTCCTAGAGCCCTGAAGGCCTATAATAAACTGAAGGGTAAAAAAACCCTTGGCCTACAGCTCGCACCTTTTAAAAAATCCCTTGCCATCAGCTGTCTGTTAGAGAAGCCCCTTCTGGGTTCAGGGCTGCCGTCCCTAAGCATGAGCTTGCTGCCACCAAGCCTCCACTGCATTTGTAACTGGACAGCACTGCTGGAGCCGCTGAAACGCATAGCACACATGATGACAGCAGTCTCACAGAGCCCCGTTCCTCATAAGAAAGAATAGACAGATACCCTTCCCTTGGGGTAAATGTTTATATATCTTCTCCTTTCTGAACCAGATGAACTGGACACACTGTTCACCACTGCTGGACTCGAGAAGGTTCAGAACTTGGTCGATCGCCGACTGCAGGTGAATCGAGGGAAGCAGCTAACGATGTACCGGGTTTGGATTCAGTGCAAATACCGCAGACCGCTGCTGTCCAGCACCAGCTGAGAGGCACCCGCTCCTGACACGATGCGAGCCCATTGTGTTGCAGGGCTTTTTCAGAAATACCTGTGGCCCAAGGACTTGGGTCCCTGCCACTCACCTGGGAGACAAGCATGGAGGTCCAGGCTCCTTGCTCTGGTTTGGCCCAGGCCCAGCTATTACAGGCGTTTGAAGAGTGAACCTGTGAATGGAACCTCTCTGACTTGTGTTTCCTTTCTTTCTCTCTCTCTCTCTTTCTTCCCCACTCCTTCTTCTCCCTCCCTTTCACCTCCCCCACCTCTGCCTTTTAAATAAATTTTGAAAAAATTTTTAAAGTACTATATAGATGATATCTTATTGCTGTGTCCATCAAGAATTCAGACTCAAACCTTGAACGTAAAAGTGATTACCTTTATTTTTTTTTTTTTTATGGGATGCCAGCCCCTACCTTTAATTTATTTTAAAAGAGTTACAGAGGGGTCAGCGCTGTGGCGCAGCGGGTTAAAGCCCTGGCCTGAAGTGCCAGCATCCCATGTGGGCACCAGTTCTAGTCCTGGCTGCTCCTCTTCCAATCCATCTCTCTCCTATGGCCTGGGAAAGCAGTAGAAGATGACGCAAGTCCTTGGGCCCCAGCACCCATATGGGAGACCCGGAAGAAGCTCCTGGCTTCGGATCAACGCAGCTCTGACCATTGCGGCCATCTGGGGAGTGAAGCAGTTGATGGAAGACCTCTCTCTCTGTATCTACCTCTCTCTCTAATTCTTTCAAGTAAATAAAATAAATCTTTAAAAAAGTTACAGAGAAAGATCTTCCATCTGCTGGTCACTCCCAAGATGGTCTAGGCCAGGCTAAAGCCAGGAGCCAGGAGCTTAATCTAGATCTCCCATGTATGGCAGGGCCCAAGTACTTGGGCCATCCTCCCCTGCTTTCCCAGGTGCATTAGCAGGGAGCTGGATCCAAAGTGGAGCAGCTAAGACAGGAACCAGCAATATGTGTGATGTTGGCGTCACAGGTGGCAGTTTTACCCACCATGCCACAGTGCTGGCTCCTGATTTTTTTTTTTTTTTTTTTTTGTCAGAGTGGACAGTGAGAGAGAGAGACAGAAAGGTCTTCCTTTTCTGTTAGCTCACCTCCCAATGGCCACTGCGGCTGGCGCACCTCGCTGATCCAAAGCCAGGAGCCAGGTGCTTCTGGTCTCCCATGGGGTGCAGGGCCCAAACACTTGGGCCATCCTCCACTGTACACCCGGGTCACAGCAGAGAGCTGGACAGGAAGAGGGGCAACCAGGACAGAATCTGGTGCCCCAACCGGGACTAGAACCCGGGGTGCCGGCGCCATAGGCGGAGGATTAGCCAAATGAGCCGGGGCACCAGCCCCTGATTACTTTTTTATCAAGATCCTAACAATTGTGCTGAATACTTGTAAAGCTCTTATTTTTTATTATTTTTTATTTATTTTTTTACTTTTTGACAGGCAGAGTTAGAGAGACAGAGAGAAAGTGTTTTCCTTTTCCATTTCCTTTTCCATTGATTCACCCCCCTATGTGGCCACTACGGCTGGCGCGCTGTGCCAATCAGGAGCCAGGTGCCTCCTCCTGGTCTCCCATGTGGGTGCAGGGCCCAAGGACCTGGGCCATCCTCCACTGCCTTCCTGGGCCACAGCAGAGAGCTGGACTGGAAGAGGAGCTACCAGGACAGAATCCAGCGCCCCAACCGGGACTAGAACCCGGGGTGCCGGCTCCGCAGGCGTAAAGCTCTTTAATATGTTCTTTTCTCTCAAGTTCTTTCTTACTTGGAGATCTCAGTTTGTCTTGCCATTTTATAATTAATAACTATAAACTTTTCTTCATGAGAGTTATGAATTTTAAAACTTAAGAAATTTATCTCCATAAGAAAGTTGTATGTGGTTAAGTGTCATTTGATCATCCATTACAGTGTGTAGTTTGGAAATTCAAATTCCTGCCTGGGCAGCCGTGCCTGATACCTGCAGAGGCGACTACAGGTTTCATTAAAGTCATCAGGAGAGCAGCTTGAAAGAATCCAGTCTCCGGTCTGTCTCGGGATGTTCCTGACCCAAAAGTGTCCCTGGAAAGAGCATCTTGTTAAGTAATTGCTCATGATCTCCCTTTAAATTTTAATTCCATTGATTTTAAACACCATTCCCTCTTAAATCTGTGTCTAAACAACAAAAAGGGTCTTCTCTTTTAACAAAGTAGCTTGTTGTGCCCTTAAATGATCCACAGAAGGAAGTGAGAGAACTACTTAATTTGGGCCACATCACTTCAGCCAGGAGCTGAGATTGCAGTCCAGGTCTCATGTGAGTGGCAGAGCCTCAGCCCCGTGAGCCGTCCCCTGCTGCTCTCCAGGGCCTGCAGTAGCAGGAGGCTGGAGTCAGGAGCCAGAGCCGGGAATCAGTCAGGCACTTGAATGTGGGATACTGCTGTAATAACCACCAGGCTGCACACTCCACTCCACGTCTGAGCGTGGTTGTCATCAGCATCAGATACTTTATGTGGTCTGCCTCTATTTATTTTTTAAGATTTATGTATTTAGTTACACAGAGGGACAGACAGAAAACTCATCCATCCACTGGTTCACTCCCCAAATGTCCACAACAGCCGGACTGGGCTGATCCAGAGCCAGGAGCTTCCTCCAGATCTCCCATGTGGGTGCAGGGGCCCAAGCACTTGGATCATCCACCACTGCTTTCCCAGGCCATTAGCAGGGAGCTCAATCCGAAGTGAAGCAGTTGGGACTCAATCCAGCACCAATAAGGATGCCGGCACCTCAAGTGAAGGCTTAACTTAGTATGCCACAGCACTGGCCCCTCTGTTTTTTTGTTTGTTTTTTAATATTTATTTATTTTATTTGAAAGTCAGATACTAAGAGAGAGAGAGGGAATCTTCCATCCACTGGTTCACTTCCCACATGGCTGCAATGGCCAGGGCTGAGCCACGCCAAAGCTAGAAGCCAGGAGCTTCATCCAGGTCTCCTGTGTGGGTAGCAGGGGCCCAAACACTTGGGCCGTCCTCCGCTGATTTCCTAGGCCATTAGCAAGGATTTGGACCAGAGTGGAGCAGCCAGGACACAAACTAGTATCCATATGGCATCACAGGCAGTGGCTTTACCTGCACTTTACACCATAATGCCAGCCCCATGATCTGCTTTTTTTCTATTATCATTCCATATTTCCCACTTGATACGTACAGTTATATATTCTTAGAATTTTCAGTTCTTCATTCCTATATTTTGGGTTTTCAGATCAAATATTCACCTACTTTATTATTTTCAGCTATACATGTGAAAACAGGGGCAAGGCAAGCAATTTTTCTCCTTAATCTAAAATTTCAGAAAATAGGGATAATTTCCACAAAGAATAGAATTAAGATTCAAAGTGATGGCTGCTTTTACCTTTTAAAAAACAATTTTTTAAGCCAGTGCCGCGGCTCACTAGGCTAATCCTCCGCCTTGCGGCGCCGGCACACCGGGTTCTAGTCCCGGTCGGGGCACCGGATTCTGTCCCGGTTGCCTCTCTTCCAGGCCAGCTCTCTGCTGTGGCCCGGGAGTGCAGTGGAGGATGGCCCAAGTCCTTGGGCCCTGCACCCCATGGGAGACCAGGATAAGTACCTACCATCGGATCAGCGCGGTACGCCGGCCGCTGCACGCTGGCCGCGGCGGCCATTGGAGGGTGAACCAATGGCAAAGGAAAACCTTTCTCACTGTCCACTCTGCCTATCAAAAAAAAAAAATTTTTAAGTTGATATTTTCTGAAATGCAGAAAGACCTTGGCTTACTCCCCAGATACCCACAGCAGCTAATGCTGTGCCAGGCTGGTACCAGGAACTTCATCCAGGTTCCCACAGGGGCAGAAGGGACCCAGGTACTTAGCATCACCTGCTGCCTCCCAGGCTTTACATTAACGGAAGTTAGAATAGGGAGCAGAGGCACCCAGGGAGCAGCTTAGCCCACTCTACAATCTCCACCCTTGAAAAATGTTTTATTTTTCAATAATTCAGACTTGCAGAAAACCTGCGGGAACCTTGCAGGAACAGTCGAAGAATTTTTTTTCGTGAACCATTTAAGCTGCAAGGGGATGTCGGAATACCCCTGTGTATTTTGATAGGTGATTTCTGTGACTGCAGACCTCCTGCATTATCATATATGAGGGTGTCCCTCACAAGCAGGAATTCATGAGAACATTAGCACTGTTCAGGTTTGCCCAGTGGCCTCAATGATGTCCTTGTCACATGCACATGACGCAGTGCATTTAATGGTTACGTCTCAGACTGCAGTTTGGAACAGTCTGGCTTGTTTTGTAACCTTGACATTTTAAGATTACAGGCTATTTTGTAAACTATCAAGCAGAGTTTGCTGATTTGCCTCAGATTATGGATTTTTAACAGGAATATCAGAGCGTTAGGAGATAGGTGACTGAATTTTTCCATTAATGGTGACGTCACTTAATTGAGAGGGTGTAAGGTTTGTTTGTTTATTTATTCATTTATTTACTTGTTTGAAAGAGAGAAAACCTTCAATCAGTAAATAGTCAGGTTCCCATGACCTTGAATGCAGTCAGTCGCTGGGTCAGTCCTTTGCATTACCAGTCTGGTCGCCACCACTGCCCTCCTCACCTCTCTTGGGCACTGACGCCCATACCCAGCCACTGTTCCCATCGCTCCCTCCACACCTTCCTCACCCTGCACTGGGTCCCCCAGGCCGGAGCTGCCAGCCCTCTGCCCCGGGTTGTCCTCTCCTTTGCTTTCCTCCCCCTGAGGGGCTTCCGAAGGAGGCTGGCAAGAAGGAAGCTCACACCTTTCCTTAATCAAGTTTACTTAAAGCCGGAAAGTGATCAGGGGGTGACGTCACCTTTGCCTTCTGAAAGGAAGAATGGTTGTATTCAGTTCAGTGATCCACTAGAGACCATCCTTTGGCATCTTGCAAGCATTCCAAAGCAACAGGAATAGTTTATATTCCATCCTCCTGGCACCTGGCTTGGGCTTTGGGCTTAGGAAAGATGAGCCTTTTCCTGCCTCTGCTCCATTTCATTCCCTGCCATCTGCTAAGCTCTCTGACATTTTATCTGCCAGGCAGAGTTGAGCCCTGTAAGGGCCTTTGCATAATGTTGCAGCCTCCCAGTGGCTGATGGCAGGCAGAGGACATGACACAATGGCCGGAGTGGGTGAACGTGTGGAGTCAGTGCCTCTCCAGAAAACACGGGCTGCCTGGACCGTCAGTCTGACTCAAGGCTGTCTGGTGTTCTTAAAGCCAACAAGGTGATGGGCTTGGGAGGCGGCTGCAGGTGCGAAGCTGCTCAGGAGGTTGTATGGCTTAGCGGCGGCCCTGGAAGAGAAGTGTATTGGAAACTGACATCTTCCCAAGTGCGGGCAGTTTAAGGAGATAAATCAGTGTTTCTTGAAAAGTGATGATTCAATTTGAGACAGGTACAGTGGAGCTTTTCTTTTCTTTCTTTCTTTTTTTTTTTTTTTTTTTTACAGTTATAGAGAGAGAGAGAAAGGTCTTCCTTCCATTGGTTCACTCCCCAAATGGCCGCTACAGCCAGTGCTGCGCCGATCCTAAGCCAGGAGCCAGGTGCCTCTTCCTGGTCTCCCTTGCGGGTGCAGGGGCCCAAGCACCTGGGCCATCCTCCACTGCCCTCCCGGGCCATAGCAGAGAGCTGGACTGGAAGAGGAGCAACCGGGACTAGAACCTGGCGCCCATATGGGATGCCAGCGCCGCAGGCGGAGGATTAACCAAGTGAGCCACAGCGCCGGCCCCCAGTGAAGCTTTCAGAATAAAACCGTGACCCTGCAGCCAGTGTAGCCATGCTGGCAAAGTCGTTCCCCTGCCTGTGTGCTTCCCCCGCAGCGTGGCCTCCACGAACACTGTCAGACCCAGGCTTTGCCACGGGCCTGCCGCCTGCTGGTGTGTGATCTCATGCTTTCTCGGGCTCAGGTTGGGAAACTGGGCCCTTGGCAAAGCACAGTCAGCTGTACGAAGGCATCCTGCTGTCACACAATCCATTCCTATCTTTACTTCAAGGCCTCTCTCGAGAAGAGTGGGGAGTCCTGTCTGGCTTAAAGGATGAGCTCAGGACAAACAGTGTCTTTCACTCTGTTCACAAAGGCCTGTTCTCTGCTCTGGCTGCAGCTGCGATTCCCAGGGCCTGGCGGCGTCGATGCATCACAGATTTGTGTTTGCTTCTGCAGCAGGTCCGCACGTCCTGTTTCTGGATCTTGGTCAGGAGGTGGAAGAAATGCTGATGATGGGTTTCCCATTTAGCCGCTGGCCTCGCACTCAGGCTTGCTCCGTGAATTTCCTTCAGGCACACACGCAGCCTGACCTCCTATCAGGACAAGTAGCCACCATCTGAGGCCGTGCCCCCCTCAGTCCTGGGACACAGGAGCCAGTAGCCTGGCACAGAGACTCGAGCGGGGGCTCTCCCTCAGATGTGAGTGCTGTATTGCATTCATTCGTTTATTCATTCCCCACTTTCCTTTCTCTGAGTTTGCATTTCTCCCTAAGAATGTTAATTGCGGGGCCTGTGCTGTAGCACAGCAGGTTAAAGCCCCCCCCCCCCCCCCCCCGCGCAGCCCTGGCACCCCATATGGGCGCCGGTTTGAGTCCCAGTTGCTCCTCTTCCAATCCAGCTCTCTGCTGTGGCCTGGGAAAGCAGTACAAGATGACCCAAGTCCTTGGGCCCCTGCTCCCACATGGGAGACCTGGAAGAAGCTCCTGGCTCCTGGCTTCAGCTCAGCTCAGCTCTGGCCTTTGTGGTCATTTGGGGAATGAACCAGCGGAATGGAAGACCTCTCTCTCTGGTTCTACCTCTCTGTAACTCTGTCTTTCAATTAAATAAGATAATTCTTTTTTAAAAATGTTAATTGTCCTTAGAAGGAAGCAGGCGGTAGCAGCATGTTGGAGAGACACCTGCAGGCAGTGACGGGACGGAGAAAGCCTGCAGTACCCACTCTGTGAGCCCCTTGCATGCACTGCCCATCCCCCCAAGATTTATTAGGTGAGTATGTTGCCTCAGCTCACCAAATTATGAGTTTCTTTTTTTAAAAAAAGATTTATGTATTTGAAAGTCAGAGTTACACACAGAAAGAGAGAGAGAGCTTCCATCCACTGGTTCACTCCCTAATTGGCTGCAATGGCCAGAGCTGCACCAATCTGAGCCAGGAGCCAGAAGCTTCTTCTGGGTCTCCCACGTGGGTGCAGGGGCCCAAGGTCCCTTCTACTGCTTTCCCAGGCCACAGCAGAGAGCTGGGTCAGAAGTAGAGCAGCCAGTCTCAAACCAGGCCCATATGGGATGCCGGCACTGCAGGTGGCAGCTTTACCTGCTACCCCACAGCACCAGCTGTGGGGTATGAGTTTCTTTGGGGACTTTGTATTTTTTTTAAGATTTATTTATTTTAAAGTCAGCATTAGAGGAAGAGACAGAGATCTTCCACCTGCTGATCACTCCCCAAATAGTCAAAATGGCTAGGGCTGGGCCAGGCTGAAGCCAGGATCAGGAGCTTCTTCCAGGCCTCCCATGCCAAAGTACTTGGGCCATTCTCCACTGCTTTTCCAGGCGCATTAGCAAGGAGCTGGATTGGAAGTGGAGCAGCCGGGTCTCAAACGAGCCCATAGAGGATGCCAGCATCACAGGCAGCAGCTATGCCACAACACTGGACCCGACTTTGTGTCCTGAACACTTAGCAGAGCATCTGGGCCCCTGTTAGTGCCAGTAGCTGAGGACTGAGTGTTGTCCTGCCCTTCCCGCTCCTGCCATGGACAGTCGGGACTTCCCTTTGAAAGTGTATGTTGTACTGGACTCTGGTTGCAAAATTATTGACAGCTCTGGTGCACACTGAAAAACCAGAGAGGGGCGCAGGTGACCCCTGGGCCCTGGGGCAGAAAGGTAGAGGGGCCCCAGAGGAGGCCTGGGTGCCTGGTTGCCCTCGTGCCCCCACAGCTGAGGGCTGGCTGTTTTTCCCTTCGGTCCCCTTGCAGGAGGCAGCCATCACCTGGCTGCTGAGGTTTGAGTTCCCTGTGAAATGGGGGCACAGTGTGTCTGCCAGTGGGTGTGGGTGTTTCCTGGAAGGACTTACAGGCCAGGCAGAGTCCCCAGAAGGCATCCACAGAACACGTTTCCCAGAGTTCCGCTGCCTTTGTTTCATTTTCCCAAACACTGACATCTAAGTGTACAACCATTATCACTTCATCGTTTTATTTTGTTTCATTTGTTTATGTTTTGAAAGGCAGAGAGAGGGAGAGAGAAAGAAAACTTGCTGGTTCACTCCCAAAATGCCACAGCAGCGGGGAGGGGCCAGGCTGGAGGCAGGAACTCCATCAGGTCTCCTGGGTGGGTAGCAGGAACCAAGCACCTGAGCCTTCATCTGCTATCCCACCTTAACCTGAGGCCTTAACCTGAGGCTGACGACTTTGAGGTGAACTCTAGTTGTCTGACCTTGGCGGACTACTTACCCTCCCAGAACTTCAGGTTTTCCCATCAACTAAATGGAGATGATTATGTTTGCATTCCACAGGGGCGCTGTGAGGATCAAAGGCCAGCTGGGCGCAGGTGTGCCCCGTTTACTCTTCGGAGGGGGCATCCGGGACAGCTGCACCCTGATGGAACCTCTCCTGGCGCCATCAGACCCCCTCGGCTCTGCTGCGGTCTTTTTTTTTTTTTTTGACAGGCAGAGTTAGACAGTGAGAGAGAGAGAGAGAAAGGTCTTCCTTCCGTTGGTTCACCCTCCAGATGGCTGCTAAGGCCGGCGCACTGCACTGATCTGAGGCCAGGAGCCAGGTGCTTTCTCCTGGTCTCCCATGCGGGTGCAGGGCCCAAGCACTTGGGCCATCCTCCACTGCCTTCCCGGGCCACAGCAGAGAGCTGGACTGGAAGAGGGGCAACCGGGACTAGAACCTGTGGTGCCAGCGCCGCAAGGCGGAGGATTAGCCTAGTGAGCTGCGGCACCGGCCTCTGCTGCGGTCTTTTTTTTTTTTTTTTTTTTTTTTTTACAGGCAGAGAGGACAGTGAGAGAGACAGAGAGAAAGGTCTTCCTTTGCCGTTGGTTCACCCTCCAATGGCCACTCTGCTGCAGTCTTAACGACAAACTTCAGCTTTCCTTCCTGGGGAGTTCCCCTTGCCTTTGGCAATTAGATTTCAGATCGGAGATCAGTAGCCCTGCCTTATCAACCTGATGGTGTGGGTTGGGCTGGCTTCAGCGTCAGCCCCTGTGAACCAGGCCCCGGACAGGAGGGCCAACGGCACAGGTCATTAGTTGACATGCATGCTGGGGGTGGAGGAGGCCATGCTGGCCCTCAGGCCTTGGCATTTGCTGTACCTTCCGCCCGAAAGCTGTCGCAGGAGGGACACGACCTTCTCCGGAGGCCTTCCCTATCCCTACCCCTATCTCAGAGGGCCTCGGTCTGTTCTCTCTTGCCACAGTGGGACATCGCAGGCTTGGTAGTTTATCAAGAGTAGAGAGGTCTGTTTAGCCCAAGGTTCTGGAGGCCGGCAAGCCCAAGAGCATGGCACAGACATCTGGTTGGCATTTGAGAGACTTCGTCCTGGGTGGTGACAGAGCAGAGGCCATCACATGGCGAGGCAGCCAGCAGGCCAAGGGAGCAGCTCTCATCACAAAGCCCCTCCTGCAGTAACCCATGAATCCACTAATCTATTAACGCAAGAGCCCAGGCATGAGAGCAGAGTTCTTACAATCCAGTCACCTCCCAAAGGCCCCACCTCTCAAATGCCAGTGACAAAGGACCTTGGGTATTAAGTGTACAACACATGGAATTCCTGGCACCTACCCACCTGGCACGATTTGCGGGTTTACTGTTGGAATCTCCCCACCCAGACCTTATCCCCAAGGAAGCTGTGCCTTTGCTTCGTTCAACAGTGTTGTCAGCCCTAGTGCTCAGTCTTTGGCTGGCAAAGGTGTCCAGCTAGAACTCAGATACTATCTTGTTTTCATTGTGTCTTTTTTAAAAATGACTTCTATTCGTGACAAGTGATATGTTGTAGCAATTTAAAATTTCCTTTAGAATGAATCTAGGGGTAGCGCTATGGTGTAGTAGCTTAAGCCTCTGCCTGCAGCACTGGCATCCCATATGGGCGCCAGAGTAACAGTTGCTCCACTTTCAATCCAGCTCTCTGCTGTGGCCTGGGAAAGCAGTAGAGGATGGCCCAAGTACTTGGGCCCTGCACCTATGCGGGAGACCTGGAAGAAGCTCCTGGCTCCTGGCTCTGAATTGGCCCAGCTCCAGCCATTGTGGCCATTTGGGGAATGAACCAGCAGATAAAGACCTCTCTGCCTAGAACTCTGTCTTTTAAATAAATAATATTTAAAAAACATAAAATGAATTTAAATCATAATTTGAAAAAGATGAAGTCGAGGGGGGCATTTGATGGCGCACGTTAAGCCACTGCTCGGGATGCCTGCACCCCTCCCAGAGTGCCTGGGGTCAGGTCTCGCCTCTTCGTCCCATCC